GAGTCTAGAGGTTTTTCTTAGCTCTTTAAGGGAATAATATGAATGTTTTGAGTCAGTGCACATTAGAATGAAACTGTACTACTGAAGGTATACAATGCAGTGGCTCTTGAATAACTTTTCAAGATGCAGACATGTAAAATATGCCATTTTCTTCAAAGACCTTGTTACTTAATTAATTTTGTTGATGAAAAATACAAGCAGAAGATGATTGTCACAAATGTATACAGTGTAAATGATCAACATTATGTAATACCAATTTTTTAAATTTTCTAACATACTAAACCCTGCTAAATGCACTATGGACACTTCTAAAAAGCAAATTTTATTATGGCATCTTTGTCAGAGTTGGAGAAAGATAAAAAAAATTAGAAGTCTTATTTATGTCTTTTTATCCCTTAACTAATAAAACATATTATTTTGAAACTCAGCAAACTAGGTCTTCTGTAAAGTAGTTGTCTTGCAATAATGTTCACTGTGGTATATAGTAGCTAACTGTCCTGTGTCCTTTGTGATACTGCTTTTCTTTTGAGTTTAGTTTTGCAGCGAACACTTGAAAATTTGTCTAGCACTCTGAAAATTTCAGACTTTTTTATCTGAAAGAAATAGAAGGGTGGTGGTTTGTTTTTGGTTTTTGTTTTTTTTTTTTTAATTCTCAAAACTTTGAAAATTGCCTTCTGGAATTCTGCATGTCAAGAAAGAACTTGCTCACTGCAGGTGGCAGAAATAGATCTTTACTAATGTGCATTAATTAAATTGATGTCACAAAGCAATGTTATTTTTATGATTTTAAGAAATTGCTTTATTAATGTAAATTGTGTTTCAAATAGAATTCTTAACCATGTTTAATGGAGTTAAAACTCTAACTTCTAAAGAACTTTTTTTAACATACCTGATGTCATATTTAGGAGTATTTTCTGGATGGGATGGTTGTCATTAATCTGAGTTCTGTGAAACAGTGCCCACATACACCCACCCATATAAAGTTACTGAGTTTCAGTGGAAGTGGATGTTTGTGTTTCCCAGGAGTGCTCCATTTTCTGCCTTGCTTGCACTAATACTGTGATGGAATGACTGCATTGCAAGTATTACAAAGCAATGTAATTCTATGACATGAAAGATCTTTACAGTTCTGTGGTAGTGCTAAAGAAGTCTTAAAATGCCAATATTATACACTGTTTTCCACTTCCTCTCTGGTACTTTTGAAAGACACCTCTTCCCTGGAACATCTCCTCAGCCAGGGTAAATTAAGTGCAGTTGCTGTTCCCTTTGCCTGTGTCAGACCCTTAATTTTAGGGAGAATGGTAAGGGAGATTGCAGGCATAGCATAACAGTGATCATAGAGCATTTCTATTAGCCTTCTCTTTATATATGTGTATGTTTAAAAAGTGTACTCTGACGTGCACCCAGTGTTTGTTGTGGCTTCAAAACATGATGGATGTCAAAGTTGCCTAAGCAGCAAAGTTGTTGCACTCCTTTTATTCATTGTTG